GTAAGGCAATGTACCAGTCAACAGGTACCAATGCTCTCCAGATTGGAGGTCAAGGAGCCTCGGTCAGTGCATTTAAGCAGCCACAACATACTACGGACGTTGGAGAAGACTAGTGGACTCCAGGGGAGCACAAGAAAGCAGAGCTTAGTTGTTGCAAGAGCGCCAAGCGCTCTTTGCTGCTGATCTTCGACGGAGGAGGGCGCTGACATTGGAAGGGCAGTGTAGAGCCCTGCGTGCCAAACCTCGATACGACGTATGAGCTGCTGTGACATGATCAAGATCACTGGAGGATAGAAGGGGGGGGGGCACTGTGAACGAGACTGCGAGAGTTTGTCTACATTGCAGGTGTGTGTGAGGGGAGACTATGTGCGCAGGGTCAGCCTTCAGCTCCAGAAGTAGGACCTGCCATTCTGGGGACCGAGCATGGCAAAGACACGTAATACAAGTCACCTTAAGACCTGGTGTATTCCGGACCTGATCAAATGGGACCGACCAGGGAGCAGAAGACCAGAGCCATCATTGCTGGGACACAGCGATTTGTAGCAGAGACAGTTTAAGGTAGATCATTTCCCACCCCCTATTTCCCTTGAACTAGGTGATGTCGAGTATCATCTATATTATTACTTATATTATTATCTGAAGGCCTATTACAGTTCCAATAATAGTCTACTTGTCAACTGACAAGTGAACCTTTGTCCTATATAAAGAACAGTCTCAAGTTATAATTTTATGATATTATAAATTGATGGTTTAAAATGTAGAGTCTATTCTTGACTTGTTTTCTTGGAAACGGTCTGAAGAATTTGGTTTTATGTAAACGAAGTTCTAGAGAATACTCAAATAGTCTTAAAATTTCATATTTCACATGTTTGAGAATAATAAACCGTATTAATGTAACCACGCCTAACAAAACCTAACCTAACCTTAACATAAACTAACCATGGAAAGGGAGCATGTAAGAGTACTAATTTTGTATTGGTTTTGAATTCCTTACATATCAGTACTTAACTATCAATGTTTAGGAGGGGTGGAGGAGGGAGTGAGGTCTAGCTCTCTATGCCTTACCTACTAACCTTGTACCTGTTGCATTTCAACGTAACTACTCTGACTTTCAAATTCTTTGTCGAATCGGGCCTTAAAGTTGTGGATGGAAGTGTCTTTTACAACATCCTCTGCTACAGCATTCAACATGTTAACTACCCATACAGGGAATTAGTAGTTTCTTACGTCCCTTCGACTCATTTGCATTTCCAGATTCCATTTGTGTTCTCTTGTTCTGCTTTCTCTTAGTCTGAAGAGGCTATCATTATCCACCTTATCTATTCCCATGAGTATCTTGTAAGTTAGGATCACATCTCCTCTGAACCTTCTATCCTATAGGCTTGTGAGATAGGGCTGTTCCATCAACCTTTGTTTGTAGTTTACCCTTCTTAGCTCTGGCACTAATTTTATTGCAAACCTCTGCACTTTTTAAATTTTGGCTTATGTTTCACAGGGTGCGGATTTCATACTGGTGATGTGTATTCCAATATTGGTCGAAGAAATGTGGTGTATATAGCTTAGAAGGAGTTCTGATTCAGGCTCCTAAAAAATATTTTCTATATTTTCCAGTGTCCCATATGCTGACGATGTTATCCCATTTGTGTGTGCCTCTGGTGTGAGTGTCATAATTATATCCACTCCCAGATCCTCCTCTCTTTCCGATTCCTGTAGCTGCCTTCAATATATGGTGTAGAGGCTTACTGGTCTCCTCTCTCTCCCTTTCCCATTAAACTTGTTGGGACTGAACTCCTAGAGTTTGTCAAGGTCCTTCCTTAACTTTCTGTAGTTCTCCTCTGTTTTCTCGTTCCTCATTAGCTTTGCATCATCAGCAAACATTGACATGTCTGAGCTCTCTTCCTCGGGTAGGTCGTTCACATAAATTAGGAACAGCAGTTGTCCCACGACAGAGGCTAGAGGGACCCCACTTGTTACACTCTTCCAGCTTGAAACCTTTCTGACTGACTCTTTGATTTCTGTCCTTCAGAAACATCCTAACCCAGTCCAGTGTTTTCCTAATTATCCCAGCCTGGTTCTCTGTCTTGCACAACAGTCTTTCATGGGAAACAGTGTCAAATGCCTTTTGTCAGTCTAGAAAAATACAATCTACCTAACCTTGCTTTTCCTGTCTTATTTTAGTAACCTTGTTATGTAACTGAGTAAGGTTTCACAGGCATGATTTTCCATTTCTAAATCCATGCAGCATTTTTGTCACAAAGTTGATCCTCTCATGATGCTCCACCTTTCACGGCCTGTCTACTTTATCCGGCACTTTAAATGGAATATTTTCAATGGCACTGGTCTGTAGCTTAGTGCCTCCTTTATGTCCCTTTTTTAAACATTGGGAAAAAATTTGCCTTTCTCCAGATATCTGGGAGACTTACTGTCTCAAGGGTTTTTAGTAAAAATTTTAGACAACGGGTGGCAGAGTACATCAACATCCTCCCTCAGGCAGCCATGGTGAGATCAGGTCTAGCCACATTGGTCAAATCTTGCTCCCCCCAAGGACTTTTTTCACCTCTTCCACTGTGTCTACAATATTATTCAGTACATTCTCTTGCTTTTCATTGTTCGACCTTAGTCTCTACGCTAGTTTTAATATAAAAACCTCCTGAAACCTTTTGTTTCTCGCATACCTCCTTTTCAGTGATTACCTCCAGGGTTTCCCCTCTTCCTCTCCTGAAGGACAGGTTGTTTGTTATCTTAACTGACAAAACCTATCCAATGGAGAAAAATTTACCCCAGAGAGCACAAAATATGCTCAAGTAACGTTAAATAAATCCCGTTCATGCAGAATTAGCGTTATCAGTGTTGATCCCTTATATCCTGGGGGAGGATAGGGGACATTAGCGATGAACAGAGAATAGTGACTAACCTTAAGAGCATCCGGCACGTCAGCGATGATCCAGTCCACCATCGTGGTTATGCTCAGCACCAGGTTCTGAACACACACACCACCCAAAAAAAAAGCTCGTGTATAGGCATCAGACAAAAATATACCCAGATGTGATTTACTTAAAACATCGTTAATGGTGTATCATTTCCTGTATGACAATTGCAAGGAAGCTGACTTACCTGGAATATGACAATAAAGGCAAGTCTGGCAGTAAGGATCCTCCAGTACAAGGGGGTGTACTCGTACGTTCCCAGTTCTTCGCTGGCCACCAGGTACGCCCGGTACCTGGGAGAAGAGAGGTAATTATCAAGGAGGAATGTGCCATGCTAGTTAGACTATAAAACACTTGGAGGGGATATAAAACAGGATAAGTGCTGATCGAAGGTAAGGTAATTATTAGAGGAAGGCTTTATAATGTTTTTCAGTAGATTCCTTATTGACAGGGAGGGTCACTTTCTTATCGTACTTGATCTTGATGTAACCGTGGTTCTTATCAGATGTGTTATCAGGGAACATGCTTTTTCCATTCATTGAAATTAGTGATTAATTGTGATTATCAGTGTTAGACATCAGTCTTTGAGGTGTGTAACCCTAATTGTGCTTAGTGGGGTTGAGCTTCAGTTCTTGGGCCCCGCCTCTCAGAGGATGAATGTTTTTTTGTGCATGCGCCCGAGTGTGTGTGTTTAAACATGTTTTGAACGTGTATGTGTGTGTGTGTGTGTATGTATTTACTATTTGTATTTGTTTTACATTTGTGTCTGTGAGTGGGTTGAGCTTCAGCTCTTTGGAACCACCTCTCAATAGTCAACCATGTTAAACGGTGTGTGTGCCTGCGTGTGTGTGTGTGTGTGTGTGTGTGTGTGTGTGTGTGTGTGTGTGTGTGTGTGTGTGTGTGTGTGTGTGTGTGTGTGTGTGTGTGTGTGTGAGTACTCACCTTGTTGTACTCGCCTAGTTGTGCTTGCAGGGGTTGAGCTCCGGCTCTTGGGTCCCCGCCTCTCAACGGTCAATCAACTAAAGTACAGGTTCCTGAGCCTACTGGGCTCTATCATATCTACACTTGAAACTGTGTATGGAGTCAGCCTCCACCACATCACTTCCTAATGCATTCCATTTGTCAACCACTCTGACACTAAAAAAGTTCTTTCTTATATCTCTGTGGCTCATTTGGGCACTCAGTTTCCACCTGTGTCCCCCTTGTGCGTGTGCCCCTTGTGTTAAATAGCCTGTCTTTATCTACCCTATCAATTCCCTTCAGAATCTTGAATGTGGTGATCATGTCCCCCCTAGCTCTTCTGTCTTCCAGCGAAGTGAGGTTTAATTCCCGTAGTCTCTCCTCGTAGCTCATACCTCTCAGCTCGGGTACTAGTCTGGTGGCAAATCTTTAAACCTTTTCCAGTTTAGTCTTATCCTTGACTAGATATGGACTCTATGCTGGGGCTGCATACTCCAGGATTGGCCTGACATATGTGGTATACAAAGTTCTGAATGATTCTTTACACAAATTTCTGAATGCCGTTCGTATGTTGGCCAGCCTGGCATATGCTGCTGATGTTATCCTCTTGATATGTGCTGCAGGAGACAGGTCTGGCGTGATATCAACTCTCAAGTCTTTTTCTTTCTCTGACTCCTGAAGAATTTCCTCTCCCAGATGATACCTTGTATTTGGCCTCCTGCTCCCTACACCTATTTTCATTATATTAAATTGGGTGGGTTAAACTCCAACAACCACTTGTTCGACCATTCCTGCAGTTTGTCTAGGTCTTCTTGAAGCCTCAAACAGTTCTCTTCTCTCTTAATCCTTCTCATAATTTTGGCATCGTCTGCAAACATTGAGAGAAATGAATCTATACCCTCCGAGAGATCATTTACATATATCAGAAACAAGATAGGACCGAGTACAGAGCCCCGTGGGACTCCACTGGTGACTTCAAGCCAATCGGAGGTCTCACCCCTCACCGTAACTCTCTGCTTCCTATTGCTTAGGTACTCCCTTATCCACTGGAGCACCTTACCAGCTACACCTGCCTGTCTCTCTAGCTTATGTACCAGCCTCTTATGCGGTACTGTGTCAAAGGCTTTCCGACAATCCAAGAAAATGCAGTCCGCCCAGCCCTCTCTTGCTAAATCTGTGTTACCTGGTCATAAAATTCTAATTAGCCAGTCAGGCAAGATTTACCCTCCCTGAACCCATGTTGTCGATTTGTCACGAAGTCCCTTCTCTCCAGATGTGCTACCAGGTTTTTTCTCACGATCTTCTCCATCACCTTGCATGGTATACAAGTCAAGGATACTGGTCTTTAGTTCAGTGCCTCTTGTCTGTCGCCCTTTTTGTATATTGGGACCACATTCGCCGTCTTCCATATTTCTGGTAGGTCTCCAGTGACCTACTATACACTATGGAGAGTGGCAAGCAAAGTTCCTCTGCACACTCTTTCAGTACCCATGGCGAGATCCCGTCTGGACCAACAGCCTTTCTAACATCCAGGTCCAGCAGGTGTCTCTTGACCTCCTCTCTCGTAATTTCAAACTCTTCCAAGGCCGCCTGGTTTACTTCCCTTTCTCCTAGCACAGTGACCTCACCTTGTTCTGTTGTGAAGACCTCTTGGAACCTCTTGTTGAGTTCATCACACACCTCTTTGTCATTCTCTGTATACCTGTACTCGCCTGTTCTAAGTTCCACTACCTGTTCTTTCACTGTTGTTTTCCTTCTGATGTGACTGTGGAGTAGCTTTGGTTCGGTCTTGGCTTTGTTTGCTTTATCATTTTCATAACTTTTCTCTGCTTCTCTTCTCACCCTGACATACTCATTCCTGGTTCTCTGGTATCTCTCTCTGCTTTCTGGTGTTCTGTTTCGGAAGTTCCTCCACGCCCTTTTGTTCAGTTTCTTTGCTTCCATACATGCCCTATTATACCATGGATTCTTCTTTTGCTTCTCGGATTTTTCCTTTTGGGCCGGGATGTATCTGCTTACTGCCTCGTGACACTTTTGGGTGACATAGTCCATCATATCTTGTACAGACTTAGCTCTGAGGTCTGTGTCCCAAGGTATTTCCCTTAGGAAGCTTCTCATCTCATAATTTCCCTTTCGGTATGCCAGCCTTTTGTTTCCTAGTTCTTTTTTTTTTGGAGGGGGGGGGGGGGTAATTCCTAGCTCTACCAGGTACTCAAAGTTCAATACACTGTGATCACTCATTCCCAAGGGCGCTTCCATCTTGACTTCTATCACACTCATTTAGGGTAAATATCAGATCAAGCATTGCTGGTTCATCCTCTCCTCTCATTCTTGTTGGATCCTTGATGTGCTGGTTTAGAAAGTTTCTTGTTGCCACGTCCAGCAGCTTAGCTCTCCATGTTTCTGGTCCTCCATGCGGGTCTTTGTTCTCCCAATCTATCTTTCCATGGTTGAAGTCTTCCATAATTAGTAGTCCAGATCCATTCCTGCTAGCAACAGAAGCTGCTCTCTCTATTATGTTAATGGTGGCCTTATTGTTTCTATCATATTCCTGTCTGGGTCTTTTGTCGTTTGGTGGCGTATTATATATGACTACGACTATAATTTTTTGCCCTCCAGTTGTTATTGTTCCTATCATGTAGTCACTGAAACCTTCACATCCCTGAACAACCAACTCCTGAAAATCCCAGCCTTTTCTTACCAGCAGAGCTACACCATCCCCACCTCTTCCTTCTCTCTTTTTCCTCATAACATAATAGTCCTGTGGGAACACTGCATTTGTTATTGTTTTCGTCAGCTTTGTTTCTGTGAGAGCTATTATGTCTGGGTTTTCCTCTAGTACCCATTCTCCAAGTTCATCTGCTTTATTTGTAATACCATGTGTGTGTGTGTGTGTGTGTGTGTGTGTGTGTGTGTGTGTGTGTGTGTGCGTGCGTGCGTGCGTACTCACCCATTTGTACTCGCTTATTTACGCTTGCGGGGGGTTGAGCTCTGGCTCTTTGGTTACGCCTCTCAACTGTCAATCAACTGGTGTACAGGTTCCTGAGCCTATTGGGCTCTATCATATCTACCCCTGAAACTTTGTATGGAGTCGGTCTCCACCACATCACTGCCTAGTGCATTCCATTTTTCAACCACTCACGCTGTGTGTGTGTGTGTGTGTGTGTGTGTGTGTGTGTGTGTGTGTGTGTGTGTGTGTGTGTGTGTGTGTGTGTGTGTGTGAAACGCATAAGACTAACAAGTCCTCTGTTTATATTTAGGTAAAATGAGTGGACAGCTATGAGCATTTACTATTGGAGTGTGTGTATGTGTACTCTCCTAGTTTTACCTACCTAGTTGTGCTTGCGTGGGGTTGAACTTTGGCTCCTTGGTTCCACTTCTTATAGGTCATTCAACTGGTATACAGTTTCCTGCCCATACTGGACTCTATCTTATCTACATATGAAATTGTGTATGGAGTCTGCCTCCACCACATCACTGCCTAATGCATTCCATTTGTCTGCCACTCACTGCTGCTCTCTCCGAGGTCAGAGAGAGCAGCACTGAGGGTAAATAGGTTCCAGTCCGCTTTAGCAAACTGCCATCTAGGGAAGGAGAGGGAAGGGTGAAAAGAGAAAAAGGTAACAAGGATGGGGAAATGGTCACTGCCATGGAGGTCATCAAAAACCTGCCACGTGAAATCCAAGTAAAATGAAGACGAGCAAAGAAAAAGATCAAGACAGGAAAGGATGCGAGTCCGAGAGTCCAAATGCGTGGGCTCACCAGAATTCAGAAGAGACAGGGAGGAAGAGAGGATAAACGTCTCAAGAAGGCGACCTCAGGGGTTCGTCAGAACATCACTCCAAAGGGAATGACGAAAATTGAAATCACCCAGCAGGAGCACAGGCTCCGGCAAGAAGTCCAGTAGGTGTTTCAGATCAGGAAAAGAAAGCGGGACACTCGGGGGAAGATAAATGGAACAAACGGTGTACCATTTCCCCACAAAGATACGAGCAGCAGAACAATGGAGAGGCGAGGGAAAAAGTAAAGGAACAAAGGGAACATCAGAGCAAATCAAGAGAGTAGAAGAGTTAGGAGCGTCAGCAACAGCTGGAGAGGGAGGAGAGAAAGGAATAGCCACGAAAACGACCAGGACGAGCACCAAGCATCGGCTCCTGGAGACAGACACAAAGGGGCGAAAACCGCGAAATCAGAAGTTGGAGTTCAAGGAAATTGGCGTAATAACCCCGAACATTCCATTGAAGAATAAACATCGACGAGAAGAAAAAGAACAACAACAGAGAACAAGGAAGAAACAAAGGCGAAAGAGCAACATAGCACGTTAAAGAAGATC